CACGATGATAAGTAGAACAAAATGAACACTATAAGAAGATGCAAGATTATATATTAAAGTCGAAGTCAACAGTCAGAAGTGAGTTCTAATTTCAAGTACATCAATTCTGTCTGAATCTAATCCGAGAACCGTGAATGAGATACGAATTGACTAATAAATAGACTCAATAAAGTTATTCTGCCCCCAAAATAGACAATCATGGTATTGATGTAGGGACATAATCACAAACTGACTCCCACCTTTTCGCTACTTCCCATCTTGTCCATCCAAGTACCGCAATTCCATCTGTTACCACCATGAATAAAGCCTGTATTGCGATCAACAAATACTTTGACGTTGAAACCTGCAACCAACTTTGATGCCATCTCTTCACACTTTAAGCTATAGGCAATTTCGGAGTGATGTGCAAAAATAATAAAATCAGCATTTCAAACATTAATACTGAAGAAGAAAAAGAGGAGATTCTCTCATTGAAAACTAGACATAAATATGCAATTTCTATTTTTCCTCAATAACTCCCTCACCTTCGTCTTTCATATGCTCATCAATCTGAGGTCCAGCATATCGTTCTCTGAAATCAATTCCAGCGAAATGTCGATTCAACGCTTCATACATCACGTCGATCAGGTGCTGCATCTGAAATATATTGCTTTAAAAATGCCATGCCAAAAACCCACCTTACCTGCACGTCATTTCCATATACGCTGTCGTCATGTGGATAGATACGTCTAACAGGGCATTTGAGAATCTCATGACCATTTGGTGCTAGTCGGACATAGCGCTCAATCGAATACAACCAGAACCAGACAGCGTCACGACAGTTATAACGGGAAGCTGCAAAGTTTGAGCATGATTAAGATAAGCAGAATTCACCAAAAAAAAAGAGGATAGATCAGCAAAAAGTTTTCAAAGGTCGTATGCATTACAAAAATGTCAAAGGAAAACTTGGCTGTACCAACTATTCCAATTCGCTATGGTCAACCTTTTCCACTTTAAAATACCTTTGGCTTACCTTTTCCCTCAGCGAGAAGATTTGGTATAAGTCCATGACGAAGACATCCAGCATAGGAAAGGATGATGTTCCTAAAGGTACAGACTTTAGAAATATTGTTGTGTTGGGGGAAAAAGTGATGCGACCAGCGCATTTTAGGTTAAGAATTACTGACTTAGCATCGTAAAATCTTCCAGTGCGTAGAAGACACCCAGGAAGAGCTATGAACGTGTCACGACCCCAGTTGCGCCAGATACCAACAGCAAAGTGTGGGAGTCCTATAATAGAAGTGATCCGTTCAAATTCACCCAACATCTTTGAATTTGTTTCACCTGCTGCAAGTGAGGAAGGGTGTTTATCTTCCAATCTGATAGAATTTGGAAGAGGAGCCAGAGCTGCAGAAGGAACATGCCCAACGAACGAGACGGAGGATACAGAGAGAGCTCGAACTAGCGAGGATAATGAGGTCAGATTCCTGAAATTACCACAGATTTGATGATTCATAGATCAGTCTGAATATGAACCTACGCAGATAACTTCCTCATCAAGGCCTTTCTACATTGCTTGTACAGATAAGTGATCAATGC